CTATTTTAATTGTTTTAATCTTGCAAACATCTCTGTTAATGGAAATATTTATACATGCATGAATGCACATGTGCACACACAAACATAATAAACTTACTCCAACATATAGAATATGGCCAGTCAAATGAAACTAATATTTTCCCATCTAGAATTGTCTTTGTAGTTGAGGAGAAGAAAGTGGGAGGAAAATAGTTTTCAGTTTTCTATTGGTTATTTTGGATATGGCATAAATTCAGCAGGGACTCTTTGAAGAATAAAACTGACGTCATCTGAAATCTAGAGAAGAGGGCATAGGTTACAATCCTGACTCTTAGCAGCTGTGTGAGTTTTGAGTACCATTATCCATAAGTGTGAGATAATAACAAATAGTATCTATATCATAACATCATACTGTACTCCTGAAGGTCATGTAATGAAAGGTAGAAGAGAGTATTTTTGTAAACTTTAAATTTTATACCAAATACAATTTTCTGTTTCAATCACAAAGCAAAGCCACATGAATTTTAATTACAGAACCACTAAAACTCCCATGTGCAATGCACAGAGAGTGGAGCCAAGAGCAAACAGCCAGGGCAATAGAAGAATCTATACTACCTTAATGAGGGCTCTGAACTATTCTCCCAGAAACCCTTGGGAAAAGACAGCATAGAAAGCATGGATGATGCTTCTTGACATTGCAAGAGAACTTCACACAGAGAAATTAATATTCTAATTGGGTAGTTAAAGTCCAAAACCAGAGAGAACTTTTTGAAACATCTAACTGACAACTTCTGAGGAGTATTTTGTACATATGGCCATGAGAAATAGTCGATTCTGTCTACCCAGCTGGTTTATCCCAAGAAAATGGACAAACCCAGAGAAGTACATAGAGTTGTCAAACAATATATTCAGAGATTCAACTAGAAAACTGAGGTAAGATGAAATGATAAAGAGAGATGATTTCCTCTGTGACCTATAATTTATCTTGATTGTATTTAATACATATGAGCAGTTTCTTAGTGAAGTCATAAGTTTAGTCTTCTGACTATATTTAAAGAAAAATGTTTTACAAACAAACACATAGTTTTAGACTTGGTTCTATAACATGCTTTTTTTTGTCATTGTGAGTTATTTGTTAAAATATGTGCTTTGAACTAGAGGAAAAAACTGAACCAATTTTCCCCTTTTTACTGATGAGTGTAATGCAAAGTGGTACAGTGAAAGAAAATTCCTGTCAATTCACAAAAAAAATCTTATATATATATATATATATATATATATATATATATATATTGTTGTTGTTGTTGTTGTTAAGTGCCTTCGAGTCGGAGCCGACCCATAGCGACCCTGTACAGGGTTTCCGAGGCTGTAAATCTTATATATATATATATATTTCCTGGAAGTGATGAAATTTATATCACTTGCACACACACACATGTACACACATACACAATCCAATTGTTGCTCTTGTTGAGTGCAGTTGAGTCAGTTCTGATTCATAGCAACCCAGTGTAAGTCTTCTGAAGAGTGGCTGTAAATTGTGGGCTTCTCTAAGCATATAATGTTCTGTAAAGGAAAATAATGCTTCATCCATCATTATAACTAATCAGGAAACACCAAGCCGATCTCCTTGTAAATTGTATACATATTTTCTGTCCAAATATGCTTTTCTATCAATCTGGCAACCTCCTAAAACATTAGAATTTTATTTCATTTGGAAAGGGAAGACGATTGTGTGTAAGTGGATTTGAAGGATAGCCTTATAAAATATAAAGAGAACAATTGTAATCATGTTTTGGTGGTTAACTAAAAAAAGGAATCATACAAGAAAGGTTGATAACAAAAACAGGGGAGTAGTTAATCTTACAGTCCAGAAACAAAGGACCCTAGGATCATCAAGGGAGAAGAGCACAAGCAGAATGCGAGACCTTATCCAGAGAAGCAGTGACAACAGAGATGGGGACATGGAGAGAGGCAGATGAGAACTCTAGATTCATGGGAAGAGAGGAACTAAGAGATGGCGGCCAGGAGGCAGACTTGCAGAATGTGCCCTTTGGTGGTGTAAACTATTGTATATGCCTGAGTGTTTAAAATTTTTAAAAAGCTAAAGTGAATAGAGAGAAACATTGTTAACTGATGGTATATGGAAGGGATTACAATCATTGTAATGAAACAAGGTGTAAAAAAGGAGAAACAAGGTTAAAAGGAGAAAAAAGAAAATTTTGATGCTCTTTGGGGATGAAACGTGTGAGTTTAAATGGTGTGTGGACTTAAATAGGTGGCTAAAATAGGGAAGAAACAGGATAAAGTAAGTAAAATGTATATGATTTTGCTAAGTGCTTGGAGGAGTACCAGGAATGTCTCTATACTATTTCTCTGCCACTTGGTTCCCAGGGCCAGTAATGACTTCTGTTATTCCCTGTGACAGTCAGTGAATTTAACAGAGGAAAGTTTGTTAAATCATTTGGTGGTGGTGGTGGTGATGGTGGTGGTGGTTGTGTGCTGTGGAGTTGATTCCAACTCATAGTGACCCAGTAAAGTGTTTCTGCGGAGCAGCTGGTAAGTTTGAACTGCTGACCTTGTGGTTCAAATAGACCTTGCAGTCCAGTGCTTATCCTACAGCACCACACTAGGACAACCCTTTATTAAATCTTTTGACAAACGGGGTTTATTCAGGGAGAGGATGTTAGACAAGAGTGCCTCAAGTCTTTCTAGGATAAAAAGAAAGAACATCGTTAAGATAATGTTGGTAATGGAACAGAGCTCAGGATGAATTTTTCCCATTTCAACATTCTCCAAAGAATTCATCAAGACACTGTGTGCACAATGACATTCAAAGTCTGTTCACTACTCTGTGTTTAGGGTTGTAAACTGTTGAAGGAAATGTCTGAGTCTATACATGTGACAAAAGAAGTATTCAGACACAGAAAAGTATACCAAACTGAAACCTAAATCACTTTTAAGTCCAGTGGTACCATAAAACGTGACCATCATGACTGATTTTTCAAGCTCTCAATTTTAGCACATATCAAGACTTCATTTCTCCTACTGGATAAGTAGTTTTTCATTGCATGAGTGGACCACACTTTTTATTATCCATTCATTTGACATTGGGCATTTGTGAAAAATTTTTCAATGAATAGTGATGTACTTACTAGTCTCTGATTGAGTCTCTGCTTTCAAGTGTTTGAGAATATACTTAAGAGTGAATTCACTGGGTCATACGGTAGTTCCATTTTATGTTTTTTGAGGAACCCCCACATTGTTTTCCACAATGGTTGTACTATTTTGCATTCCCACCAACAGTGAATAATGGTTTCAATTTTATCACATCCTCAACATTTGCTATGTTCTTTTTTATTAATCTTAGCTAACCTAGTATAAGTGAAATGATATCTTACTGTGGTTTTGCTTTGTATCTCTCTGATGATTAATGACATTGAACATCTTTTCCTGTGTTTGGTGGCCATTTGAATATCCTCTGGTGAAATGTCTACTCAAGTCCTTTGATCATTTTCTGATTGGGTAATTTATCTTTTTCTTATTTTCAAAGTTATATTTATTTGTTTGGTTCTGAGAGTCTTTGGATATATGGCTTCTGAAGATATTCTGCCAGTCTGTAGTTTGATGAGCTATATTTTTAATCTGTTTTTTCTGGTCACACCACCTTGCAGACCACCTGAAATAACCCATTTGCCTAACATTTATAGACAGGATAATTATTAATAATTATTAATACACTCAATCAGTGATGTACCCCAATATATCATGTACGATGACATGTATATTTATAGATCTTCGTTCAAAGCTTAAGAACTCAATGCAAGTACCTTTTCAATCAAAGAGATTTCTAAAGTTTTATGTTTCAATGGAATTTATAAATATATAAAATTGAAATACATTAGTATTTAAGGTATGTTCTGGACTATAATATTCAAACTATAAACTGTAACAAAGATCCTGGAATGTAATGGAGAGAACTGTCTGTCAGCAATGACTATTTTGAACTTCATCTGATTAGAAATGCACTTCTATTATCTAAAGCTACTGAGATTTGAGAGTTTATCTACTACAGGAATTAGCATTACCCATATAAGTAAAGTATAGAACAATACAAGACTAAACAATAAAATACTACAAGGATTATCCTTAATGAGCATCCAAACATGAACTGTAAATTAAAAATTTACCAGAGCATGAGTTTTAGTCATTTCTTTTCAACATTAAGTCGTGCTGTGACCTTGGACAAGTCATGTAATCACTCTGAGTTAGATGATATCTGAGTTACTTTTCCTATATAAAAGTCTACAGTTCTGTGATGCTAAGTCTTGAATTTGATAGTTCAATTTTAAAAAAGTGCTGTGTCAGGTTAGGCCATGCAAATTTTCTAGAGTTTAAAAATTAAAAATATTTTGCATTTTCCTTATACATGCATATTCTTCCATAATAACATTCTTGAAATTTTCTCATATTTATCTTTCACTGGTCACTTATTTCAATAGCTTAAAACTCTTTGTCATTGGATATTATACTTGATTTCTCTTTTTCTCCCCAAGGCCTAGCACAGTGGCTGGTCACATGGTAGAATTGGCCCAGGGGGTGGGGGGGGGATGCTGACAAAAGCTTGATAAATTAAATGAATATGGAGAAAACATACATAATAAATTGTAAAGGTTCAAGCAAGAAAGTGAGACAGCATGAAGGATATGGGCAGGAAGGATCCCTTAGCAATGAGATGAGAGGGAGGGATATGGTAGTATTGGCTCTGTACTAATAGTACTAGCTGCAGGTGAGACATAACTGTCCTCGCTGGGAATAAAGAGGATAGGCAGGGTACAAGATATTCTGATTAGCCATGAAATTGGCTAAAATTCTGCCATTTGCAAAAATTCACAGTCAGCTGAACTGATTAAGAGTGAATAAGGAAAGAGCTTAGGGAACAGAATTCAATAAATCTTTGTGACTTCTCCAACTTTGGCTTTGTTCTAGGGTTGATTTCTTCGAACCAACAAGACGGTGATATGGAGAAAAGAAATGAGTCTTTGAACATGGATTTCATTCTCTTGGGTCTCTTCCCTGGTATGAAACATATTAATTTCCTAGTCTCTGTCATCCTCCTTATTTACACCGTAGCTCTCACTGCAAACTCTATCCTCATTCTTTTGATCTGGGTGGATTCTCATCTCCACACACCCATGTACTTCCTTCTCAGCCAGTTGGCTCTCATGGACCTGACATTAATTTCTAGCACAGTACCCAAGATGGCAACTGACTTCTTCTCAGGAAGGAGAAACATCTCACAAATGGCCTGTGGAACTCAGATCTTCTTCTTTCTGACTCTAGGCATTGCAGAGTGCATCCTCATCACCCTCATGTCCTATGATCGATATGTGGCCATCTGCAACCCTCTGAGATATGCTCTCATCATGAATCAGAGAGTCTGTCTACAGATGGCTGCCTTCTCCTGGGCTGGAGGTGCCCTGACATCGCTGGCACACACAGCATATGCCATGCATTTCCCCATGTGTGGTTCCAGAGAGATTTCCCATTTCCTCTGTGAGGTTATGGCCATCTTAAAATTGGCTTGTGAGGATACCTCTGCCTATGAGAAAGCCGTGGTAGTGACAAGCATTGTGGTACTTTTCATTCCTTTGTCCCTCATCCTTTCCTCATATGTGCTTATTTTCCTTGCTGTCCTGCGTATGAACTCCCCTGAAGGCAGAAATAAAGCCCTGGCTACCTGTTCTTCTCACCTGACTGTTGTGAGCCTCTACTTTGGTCCTGCTCTGCTAGTATACATGAGGCCTAGTTCTTACCACAGTCCCAAGCTTGATCACATTCTCTTTATGCTTGGTGCTATCCTAACTCCCATGATGAACCCCCTTATCTACAGTCTGAGAAACAAAGAGGTGGTGAATGCTCTGAAAAATGTGGTGGGATGTTACTTAACCTAGTAGTTGAAAAATATATTATGGATAATAATCACTAGGTTTATTTCAGTCTAAATGAGCCTTGCTTAGAAGTCAACGTTTCAGTTCTGATCATTCCAATCTTGAAATTGCAATGGGACCACTGGCTCCATAGATTCAGTCCATACATGAGGGTTTCAAAAAGTTGGTGGATAAATTCCATTATCTTTTTAATTCCATTTTTCAAGAAACTTTTTTAATCCCTCTTGTATACATAAAATAAGCAGCATGTTCTTATCTTCTTCATGCTTTCTTGGGATTTAGCTCCATCTCTCAAACTGTGAGTTTCCAGGAGTTAGGCACTTATAAGGTTGATGATAATGGTGGTGGTGGTGGTGGTGGTGATGATGGTGGTATTGGTATTAGTGGAGGTGGTGAAAATTGAGGTAGTGATGGTGGAAGTGGTAGAGTGGTGATAATGATGGTGAAATGTCACCACCACCATCACCAAGAATGGTGATGCTTTAGCCAACCACAAAGCAGAATGTGATCAAGGTCAGTCTTTGAAAGAGGCTCACCACTGTCCAGAAATGTTCCAGCTTGTAAAACATCCTTAAGATAAGATTAAAAACTGAATTGGGTTCTTGGTTTCTATTTTAACATGAAGGGTGCAGATTAGATTCTCTCTAAAGTCTTTTATGGTCCTAAATAAAAATATTTCATTTATTATATTTTAAATAATAACTTTAAATAAATGTTGCTTGCATTTTAATTTTATGAAATTTTCCCATTACTAAAATACATATATTTAGTTTTTTTAGTTTCAACTTTCTATTTTTTAAGGATACACAATTATATTGGATTTAGTGAAAATGGACAGATAAGCCACTAAAATTAATGTGAATATTTTCTTGCATCTTAGTGCTTTTTTTGCTATGTAGTTTCACAAGAATAAACACTTGAATTTCTATAGAAAGGAAAATAGATTGAATGTAACCAAATCTACAAATGTGGAAATGTCACTGCCCTAACTTCTGATAGAATGAAAGTACATGGACTGAAATAAAAGCTAAAAGAGTTAATAGTTTACTGTTAAATTTATCACATTTAATTGACTTGGTAAGCTGCTTGAATTAGCACAATGTAATACTATTTGATAGCCAGGGAAAATTTAGGAATAAGTAATCTAACTTGGTTAATTGAGAGGAAAAAGTCAGACCTGCAACCCTGAAAAACAAGAACTATTTTTTTAATTTGAATATGTTGAATGTTATATGGAAGAGAATTTTTTATCTATAAAGTGGCAAAGTAACAAATCAAATTTGTAAAATATACTCGCCATGGAAGTGATAAGTGTAAATCATCTGTGCAAGAAAGAAATTTATGTTTCAAGCCAGCTGTATTATAAGGAAGGTTTGAGACGGGTATAACCCGGTAGTTATTTGGGCAATGATTGAGTGGATAAATGAATATGTGATTTACTACACACAGTTGTTCAGTTATCAGCTGTCAAATTTGAGCATTTCACAGAATAAAGGTGAATTTTGTGAACTTCAGTTGTCCTTGCAATATACCTATTTTATTACATTAAATAAAACAGGAGATAGGGTGATTTCAAAATGCTCCATCCAGCAGGTCAAAAGTATACTTAAATAGCAAGTTTAGCATTTTGTTTCCATTTGTTTCAGTGAAGTGATACCACAGTTTAGAGATGGATTTATAATCCTACCTATTACATCTGATTAACAGTTGAAACTCTGCTTGCATGGGAGCTGAGCTGGAAAAGAAAGTGAGGTCTATAGGTTGCCTCCAGTAAGACAGAATGAGTCTGAAATGTATTGAATTAAAAAAAATTAAAAAAAGATGATTGTTGTTGTTGTTAAGTGTCGTCAAGTTGGCCCCTACTCATAGCAACTCTATGCACAACAGAACAAAATACTGCACAAACCCGTGCCATACACTCAATTGTTTTTACTGTTACACCCATTGCTCCTGCCACTGTGCCAATTCATCTCAGTGGGAATTTTCTTATGTTTCACCCACCCACCACTTTCCCAAACATAATGTCCTTCTCCAGGGATTGGTCCCTCTTTCATACTTCATAACATGTCCAAAATATGAGAAACAAAGTCTCTCCATCCTGGCTGCTAAGGAGCATTTTGACTATTTTTCTTCCAATACAGATTTGATTGTTCTTCTGGCAGTCCATGGTATTTTTAATATTCTTCTCTAACACCACAACTCAAATATATCAATTCTTCTATGATCATCCTTATTCATGTTCCATCTATCACATGAGGCTATTGAAAACACCATGGCTTGGGTCAGGAACATCGTAGTCCTCAAACTGATATTTTTGCTCATAAACACTTTAAAGAAGTCTTGTGGAGCAGATTTGCCTAAGGCAATATATTACTTGCTTCTTCTAGGAGTGTTGATTGTGTATCCAAGAAAATGAAGTCTTTGACCATATCAATATTTTCTCTATTTACCATGATGCCATTTATTGTTGTGAGGATTTTTATTTTCATTACATGGAGGTGCAATCCATACTAAAGGTTTTGATATTCATCAGTAACTATTTTAAAACCTCTTTGCTTCCAGGAAACAAGGTTGAATCATCTGCATATCATAGGTTATTAAAGAGTCTTCTTAAAATCCTGATTCCATGTTTGTCTTCAAATAACCCAGCTTCTCAAATTATTTTCTCAGTGTACAGATTGAATAAATATGGTGAAAGAATACAACACTGGAGCACACCTTTACTGATTTTAAAACATTGTTCCACCATTCATCTGTCAGTTTGTCATACTGTGTGTCACTGTGATTCTGTGCTTGAATGTTACTGTGATTCTGGAACTCATGCCACAGGTATTTTAAATACCAGCAGGGTCATACATGGTGGACAGATTTCAGATGAACTTCCAGATGAGACAGACTAGAAAGAAGGAGAGACAAACTACTTCTGAATGTTTAGTCACTGAAAATATTATGAGTAGCAGTGGAACACTGTCAGATAGTATCAGAATATTGTCAAATATAGTGCCCGAAGATGAGCACCTCCAGTTGGAAGCCAATCAAAATATAGTTGGGGAAGAGCTGACTCATCAAAGTAGAGTTAATTGTGATGATACTAATGGAGTAAAGCCTTCAGGACCTTCATTTACTGTTGGAGCACAATTCAAAATGAAGAGAAACAGCTGTAAACATCCATTAATAATCAGAACATGGAATGTACTAAGTATGAATCAACAAAAAATGGAAATTGTCAAAAATAGTACAGAACGCATAGACACCAATGTTCTAGGCATTAGTGAACTAAAATGGACTGTTATTGGCCTTTATGAATCTAACAACCACATGGTTTACTATTGTGGGAATGACAAATTGAAGAGGAATGACATTATATTCATCATCAAAAAGAACATTATTAAGATCAGTCTTAGAGTACAATGCTGTCTGTGATAGGATAATATACATATTCCTACAAGGAAGACCAGTTAATACTACCATTATTCAAATTATGTACCAACCACAGTAAAGCCAGTAATGATAAAATTGAAGAATTCTACAAACTTCGTCAGTTTGAAATTGATCAAACATGCAATCAAGATGTATTGGTAATAACTGGTGACTGGAATGCAAAGGTTTTAAACAAAGAGAAAGTGATCAGTAGTTGAAAAATTTGGCATTGGTGAATGATACAGTGCAGGAGATCACATGATAGAATTTTACAAGACCAGTGACTTCTTCCTTGCAAATCCCTTTTTTAAACAACATAAAAGACGGCAATACACATGGAGCTCACCAGATGGAGTACACAAAAATCAAACTGACTAAATCTGTGGAAAGAGACATTGGTAAAGCTCTTTATCAGCAGCCAAAAAAAGGCCAGGGGCAGACTGTGTAACAGGCCATCAATTCCTCACATGCAAGTTCAGGCTGAAACTAAGGAAAATTGAAACAAGTCCATGAGAAACAAAATATGACCTTGAACATATCCCATAAGAATTTAGAGATCATCTGAAGACAGATTTGATACATTAAACACTAAAGACTGAAGATAACATTGTTGGATAACATCATGAGCAACATATAGAAAGAAAGCAAACAGTCATTAAGAAGAAAAAAAAGATAGAAAAAATCAACATGGATATCAGAAAAGACTTTGAAACTTGCTTTCCAGTGTAGAGAAGCTAAAGCAAATGGAAGAAATGAGGAGATAAAAAGGCTGAATCAAAAATTTCAAAGGACAACTCAAGAAGACAAAGTTAAATAGTATAATGAAATGTACAAAGACCTGGAGTTAGAAGACCAAAATGGAAGAATACACTTAGCATTCCTCAAGCTGAGGGAACTGAAGAAAAACTTCAAGCCTCAACTTGCAATATTGAAGGATTGTGCTGTAGGTTGACACGCTGGACTGCAAAATCAGTTTGAACCTCAAGATCAGCAGTTCAAGCTCACCAGTCACTCCTTCGAAACTCTATACAAGGTCACTATAAGTCTGCACTAACTCGATGGCACTTAACAACAGTAACATAGACAAAACACTGGATGATGCAGAAAGCATCAAAAAAGATGAAAGGAATACACAGAGGTCACTGTGCCAAAAAGAAATGGCTGAAGTTCAACCATTTCAAGAGGTAGCATATAATCAAGAGTCAATGATATTGAAGAGAGAAGTCCAAGGTGCAATGAAGACATTGACAAAGAACAAGGCTCTGGGAATTGATGGAATAAAAATTGAAATATTTCAACAAATTGATGAAGCACTGGAGACACTCACTCATCTATGTCAAGAAATTTGGAAGACAGTTACCTTGCCAACTGATTGGAAGAGATCCATATTTGTGCCCATTCCAAAGAAAGGTGACCCAAAGGAATGTGGAAATCTTTGGACAAAATCATTAATATCTCATGCAAGCAAATTTTGCTAAAGATAATTCAAAAATAGCTGAAAACATACATTGACAGAGAACTGCCAAAGGTTCAGGCTGCATTCAGATGAAGACATGCAAAGGATATACGAGGATGTCAGATGG